TCAGCAAATGCCAGGGGCACAAGAAGCCAGTTAGAGAGCGTTTAGAAGCAGAGGTCTGGGGTCGTGTAGAACTGGGGTTTCAGGCCCAGTTTCCTCATCTATAAAAGGAAGACAGTAACACCTGAAATTCCTAGATATTGTTAGGATACAATGAAATGAGGAAGCACTTAGCATGGGGCCTGGCACTTATGAGATGCTCTGAATAACAATGGCAGTGATGATAATGACCTTGCTGCTGTGGCCCCAGGTTTCTCTACTCCAACCTGGCCTCATGCCCAAATCACCCTCACATCCACCCTCCACAGGGGTGGCAGCACAGACTGTGCCTGTCATACTCCTCATGGGCAAGGGCCCTGACAAAACCAGGCCAAACCCAAGCTTTCTTTATATTGAGTGTTTCACATAAATTTTCAGATGTATATATAAACCTCCATTCCCTCCACAATCAGTTTCCTTCCCAACCCCCTTCTAGGAACTTTCTACTGAGGTAGGCACACTTCGCGCGTCAGGGAGCTCAGTACTTCTGGGCACACCCCATTATATTGCTGGGCAGTTGCAGTTTTTAAAAAAATTCAGTCTCAGCGTGGCTGCTTCTTTATACGCTTAGTTATAGGAGTTCCTTTCAGCTAGCCTTCAGGTGGTTCTCCAGGGTGATTGGTCTATAATGTAGTGTAATTTTGATGTGGTCGTGGGAGGAGGCGAGCACAGCATTTACCTGCTCCGCCGTTTGGACCCAGTGACAGTTTTTAATAAGCTGTTGCTTGCACTCAGTTTCGAGTTGAGCTCTGCTTACTAGAAACATCCACTCTTCGGCTTTCGCCCTCCTGAACCACGTGGAACAAGCCTACTCACTCCACTATTCTGTCAGTGCATCTCGGTTAACTCTTAGGCCTGGGCTGCCGGCTGCTACCCAGACTGTCTATTCAACTCCAATCTTCTTGAGGGACGTGGTGCTTCACACCCACATAACTCATGAAACACAATCCTCGGGGGAATCCTCCTGCCTGTGAAATTATGGTTTGGGGTCCTGCATTTTGCTGTCTCCAGACAGGCCCAGGCCTCCCCAGAATAATTGGGGAGATCTTCGCTAGGAATCAGACGCGTTGTGGTGTTTGAACCCTAGCTCCACTTGTCCTAACTGTGTGACCTTGGACAAGTTCCTCAGCCTTCTCTGAACTTCATTTTCCTCATCTGTCAAGTGGGAATAAAGAGCCTTAGCTTGTAGGTGGTTGTAACAATTCAATGAGATCGTGCAGGTGGCGAGCCCAGCATAGTGGAAAAGTTCAGTAACTGGTGGCTATTGTTGTTTTAAGAGGGAAAGCTGCCAAATTCTTTGAAGGGGCAGAGCAAGAATCAGTTCTCCCTGGAGATACAGGGAGGGGCCGGGTTCTGAGGTGAACTCATCCCATGCCAAGCAGATGGAAAGACGATCTCGTGGCACACAGCTGGAGCCCACCAATGCAAAACTCCAGCTGTGGGCCAGCCCTGCTGCCCCAGCAAAGGGGCCTCGGGTGGACACAGCCAGTGCCAAGACAGATGGGGCAGCGGCCAACTTTCCAGCCAACCCAGATGTCTGTCCTTCTCAGATGAAATCTCAAAAATGTGGCTTTAATCAAAGTGGCTTTTGAGAGCCAGGTGCCCTGCAGACTCTGGCGGGGGACTTCGGAAGTTCTGAGTGGGGACCTTCGATAACTCCCACGGGGTCAGGAAGGTCAGCTGCATCTGTCACCCAGCGAAGGGAGAAGGGTGACCATAGGCTAGCCTGGATTGATCGATGGAGCCATCTCCCCAAGAAAGTAGGCACGGGAATTTTTCTGGAAGAAAGGGGATTTGTCCGTGCCATGTAACAGGCTTCAAGATAGTCCCTTTTCCATGTCAGAAATAGCAGCATTCTGCAGCGGCCTTCATCGAGAGTCCAGCCCCAAGCCTCAGAGGCCAGGTGATTTAGGGGAAGCCATGAAGTCACAGAGCTTCCTGGCTGCTGGCTGCACTACTCCCCTCACCCCTGATTCTGCTAGACCACCTCACTGGGGATGACAAAGTCCTTCCCTGAGATGCAAAGCCTCATTGTATCAGAGAAATAGAGGCTCAGAGGGGCAAAGCCACCAGGGTTGAGAATGTTCTAGAACCCAGAAGTTTTGCCCACTATTCCCAATTTCCCTCTAGCAGCTGGCCTGTCTTCTGCTCACTCTTGCACAGTAGCTTGCTTGTCATGCCTCCTTAAAGAAACATCCCCCCCAGCCCCAGGCTTGCGCATGGAGCTAGGTGTGTGGCGCCCTGTCAACACAAACAAGGCTCCCGGCTCCTGCCCTTCCCTATACAATGCCCAGTTGCACTTCAATGTGTTTTAAATGCTTATGTTGCCCTGTCTTTGTTATTACGCTCTTTGGTGTGTTAGAATGCTTGCCATTCCAGGGTCTGCACCCTGGTGCCCAGCTTGCTGAGTGTGCTGAATATAGCAGGGAGGGGGCGGAGGCGGGGGGG